GTGAGGCCTGGGGAACCCCACGGTGAGGCCTGGGGAACCCCACAGTGAGCTGAACCGAGACAGTGACATCTGGGTTTTCCTCACAGCGGCATGGTTTTCAAAATGTTTCAGGAGTAACCCACCATGATGAGGACATTGATGTGTGAAAACATTCCACCACACAAGCCCTATTTTCTGAGACTGGAGGTTGTAGGTTACATCTGGGAATCGGAATGGCCCGTTTTTCCCCCTTGTCGCTTAAAGGGAAGAAGGCGCTGTGGGCAGCCACACGTGCGAGGTGATGGCGGGCTCGTGCCGAGCTCTGTGCTCTGAACGGGCAGGGGGTGCGGACGCTCCTCCGTCCCCTGCTCCGTGGCTCTCTGCAGGGACAGTGTGGTTCGCGCTGCTGCTGGCTGGCCCGCCAGCCCTGACTCGTTTACGGATAACAGTGAGCTGGTGCCCGGTCCTGCCCGTGTGCCTGACCCTCCCGGCCAGGCGCTTGCCTTCCAGTGCTGCACCGGACAGTGTTCCCTTTGACCCCGACGGTTTCCACGGGGTGACTTTCACAAGTGCATCGCCAGACGCTTCCCAGTCTCAGTGTGGATGTCCCGCTGAAAGGCGTCCGCCGTGCGGGACCCTGCTGGTGACACACCAGGGCCAGAGCCGCCAGCATCGAACAACACTCGGGCCACCAGCAGGCGGCCTGACGGGTGGGGTGGGCGTGGAGTTCTGCCCCGTCACTCACGTCCTGACTGCCCGCGCCCACGCCACGGCTCAGTTCCCCGACTCCTCACTCGTCCCCGCAGAGCAGCCCCTCCTCCCTGTCCCTACCCCTTAAAGCTCTCTCACTTCCTCCGTCCTGGGGGGCATGTGTTTGCAGGCTTTGGTGACGTTTGCAGACGTGGCCATAGACTTCTCTCAGGAGGAGTGGGCGTGCCTGGCCCCCACTCAGAGGGACCTGTACTGGGACGTGATGTTGGAGAACTACAGCAACCTGGTCTCCCTCGGTGAGTGCCTGCCTCAGGTGACCTCGCGGGCGGCGGTGGGGTCAGCTCAGCTCCGACTCGTGCCGATGGCTGCACAGTACAGCGGCTGCGGGGGCGCCACGGCTGTGACTCTGGGAAGCAGGTTGCCAGTCCTCTCTTCCAAGTGCCTCTCGGTGGTTGAAGCACCGGCCTGTCAGCCAGTAGTCTGCTGTAACCGCAGGCATCGCCAGGCACACTTTACCGCCTGAGTTAGGCTCCGTCGTAACATTTTTACATTCCCTGAAACTTCGGCTCTGAGGTACTCTTTAAACCTTAAGCTGAAAGTACTCCGTGAAGTCTTCTTAAAACCAAACCATAGTCCAGCTTAACTAGGAACGCTTCTGCCTCAGAAACCCAAGGAGGGGTCGCTATGAGTCGAGTCCGACTTGACGGCACACAACAACAGCAACAAGTAACGCCGGCCCCCCTTGAGCAGGGTGCCCTCCTAAGAGCTGCCTGTGTGGGCTCCAGGGGACACCAGCAACCCGGAAGGTTAGGTGGCAGTGAGTTTATGTGAATGGGAGAGGAACAGCTCAGGAGGGGAGCATGGTCGCTCAGCTTGGAGAAGTGGGCGGTGTCCCTGATTGGCACGCACGCAGCTGTTGAAGTGCTGTTGTTTCATTGTGTATGTTGTCAACAACAACAGAACACAATTTGAAAGAACAAGCATTAAGAACTGTTTGTTTCTCTCTAACGATTAGTGTTTATGATAAAGGGTTCATCTCCTAGCCTGCACTTAATTAATGTGCTGGGTCGGCTGCTAACCAAAAGGTTGGAAGTTCAAGTCCACCGAGAGGCACCTCAGAGAAAAGGCCTGGTGATTCGACTGAAAAACCCAGCCACTGAAAGCCCCGTGGAGCACGGCTCTGCTCTGACAGCCGCGTTGGAATCAAGTCAACAGCCACTATCTGGCTTTCTTCTTCCCGGCATGTCCAGAGCGGGTCGTTGGGCACACGTGGCTGTAAACGTGTTTGATGCTTTTTCTTTCCACGCAGCTAGTGTCCTTACTGATGCACCAATGATCCTGAACTCGACCTTGGAGGTGTTTCCCATTTCTTAGAAGTTTAATGCTACATACTGACTTTTCTGTTGCTTGAGCGTTGGTCTGTGTATCCAGAATAACTTTTCATTATATTGTATAGGCATCTTTCAGTTTCACTGTTTTATACACAGCTACCCAACTGCATACTCATCTCTTTTGCAGTAGTTCCGTATTTGGTTTTCTTGGGTTTTCCAAGTGTGTCATCATGTCTACAAAGCAGTTTTCACCCTCATTTTTTAAGTTTACATCCCGATGATATTTTGCTTAATTGTGTCAGCTAGTAGGAAGTAAAAGAAGTCCTGGTCCACGCACAGTTAAGCGCTCTAAGTGAAAGGTTCCACCCACCCAGAGGCTCTGTGGGGGACAGACCTGACAGTCTACTTCCTTAAAGATTTCAGCCTGGACACCCCTGTGGTGCGGTTCTGCCCAGTCACGTGGTCGCCATGAGTTAGAATTGACGTGACGGCCCCTGACAGCAGCTCTAGGGAGGATGGGATGGGCGTAGCTTTCCGTGATTGGTTAGCAGGGGGCTTCTGGTGTTTTCTCGGGAGGCACAACGGAGCCAGAGCAGAGCCTGTATTCTCACAAGAGCCCAGGGTGCTTTGTGCTTCCTCTCCTGCAGAATTTGTATCTCTAGCAGATGGGTGGTTGATTGTGTCTGGGTTTTGTTGTTTTTTGTTTTGTTTTCTTCTGTGTTCCTCCCAAGGACACAAAATACATTATTTCTTTTCAGAATTGGTGTCAACCTACGAGACCGAGGGTTTGCCTACAGAAAAGAACATTTATGAAATAAGCTTTTCCCAGTGGAACGCACATCGGAAAAGCAAATCCTTTTTGCTTGACTGGAAGTATGCAGGTGAGTGTGAAGCCCCACAGGGCCAGCGCCACCCAGCGAGAACCAGCTGTGAAAACACGCCCACCTGTAGGCAGAGCACCTCTGGTAGACCACCCCAGAAACCTCACTCCAGAGAGAACTCCTTTGAGTGTAAGGAGTGTGGGAAGGCCTTTAGTCGTGGCTATCAGCTTGCTCAACATCAGAAAATCCACACCGGGGAGAAGCCTTACGAGTGTAAGGACTGTAAGAAGACCTTCCGTTGGGGCAATCAGCTGACCCAGCATCAGAAAATCCACAGCGGGGAGAAGCCTTACGAGTGTAAGGACTGTGGGAAGGCCTTTCGGTGGGGCTCCAGCCTTGTGATTCATAGGCGAATCCACACCGGTGAGAAGCCCTATGAATGTAAAGACTGTGGGAAAGCCTTCCGGCGTGGCGACGAACTCACTCAGCATCAGAGATTTCACACCGGAGAGAAAGACTATGAGTGTAAAGACTGCGGCAAGACCTTCAGCCGCGTCTACAAGCTCATCCAACACAAGAGAATTCACAGTGGCGAGAAGCCCTACGAATGCAAAGACTGCGGCAAGGCCTTTATTTGTGGCTCAAGCCTTGTACAACATAAAAGAATTCATACTGGGGAAAAGCCCTTTGAATGTCAAGAATGTGGCAAGGCCTTTACTCGCGTCAATTATCTTACTCAACATCAGAAAATTCACACGGGGGAGAAGCCTCACGAGTGTAAGGAGTGTGGCAAAGCCTTTCGTTGGGGTTCAAGCCTAGTCAAACATGAGAGAATCCATACTGGTGAGAAGCCATATAAGTGTACAGAATGTGGGAAGGGCTTTAACTGTGGCTATCACCTTACTCAGCACGAGAGAATCCATACTGGTGAAACACCTTATAAGTGTAAGGAATGTGGAAAGGCCTTTATTTATGGTTCAAGCCTTGTTAAACATGAGCGAATCCATACAGGTAAGAAACCCCATAAGTGTAATGACTGTGAGAAGGCCTTTGGCCATCGCCACCAGCTGACACAGCATCAGAAAGTTCATGAGAAGAGTTCATCCAGTGAGAACCCCGAGGAATGTAAGGAGGGTGGGAAGGCTTTCAGGAATGCCAGTCAGCTGAGAGAACATCAGAAAATGCACACCCGTGAAAACCCGCTCCCAAACCAAGAACGTCAGAAGACTCTTAGACAACCATCAGGCCTTCCTCAGCATGAGGAGAAGCCGTGATCTGATCTGTCATGAGAAAGCATCTCTGGTCGCTCTGTTCACAGAGCATCAGAGCAGTTGCAGTAGAGGCACATTTGGAGAACAGGGAGATCACATTCTGTTCCTCGTCACAACATGCTCAGTGTGGGTGATTTTCCACTGGGTAGGTTACCGTAATGAAGGCCGCCCAGTACGCCAGTCCTTGTTGAACATCAGCCAATTTGCTCTAGAGAATAGCCCTGCTTACGTAACATGTGGGAACGCTTCTAGTCACAGTCCGTATCCTACCTGTCACCCCACCTCTTCATTCCCTGTGAGACACTGAGCAAACTACACATCATTGCTGTGCACTGTGTCAAATGGAGACAATCATGCTCAACAAAGATTGCTGTTGTGGTTGAGTGAGTCTCGTACGTGTAAACTCTTTGAACGTGTCTCTGGAACGTTGCATAAGCTCAATAAATATCTGTGGTGGTTTTTGTGGTCATTACCGTTAGTGTTGCTATTAGTGAATTCTTACAAGAAGACTGTCACACTTCGGGAGGAACACATAGGAGATGATTGTCACAGCCTCGGGTTTGACAGATTTCTTAGTACACCAAAGGCCCTAAACATAAAATGAAACATGAAGAAAGCAGGCTGCATCCAAAGTACAAAGTCCTGTTTGTCACCCAACGCCACTGCACCAGTAAAACTATGAAAAGGCAAGAAAGGGACTGAGAGAAGGTGCCCCACATACGCCTGACAAAGGACACACAGAGAAAGCTAGAGAGACTCCCTCAAGTCAGTAATCAGACAGTGAGCCAATAAAGGTGGGAAAGACTTGACGAGGAAAGACACCCAAATGGCCAATGAGTGAATGAAAATCAACGTCATCACACATCCAGCTGAGAAAACCCACTGTTGGCAAGTCAATTCCAATTTATAGCAACCCTAGAGGACAGAACAGAATTGCCCCGTAGGGTTTACCAAGGCTAGTTTTTACCGAAGCAGATTGCCACATCATTCTCCCATTAAGTGGCTGGTGGGTTCGAACTGCTGACCTTTCGGCTGGCAGCTGAGTGCTTAACCGTCGTACCACCAGGATTCCTTCATACTCATCAGGGAGGTGCAAAGTAAACCCACAACGTGATGCCAATGGGCACGCACCAGAAGAGCCAAAAGGAGTCCACAGGGTGGCACAGATGGTTAAACGCTCGACCACTAGCCAAACGGTAGGTGGTTTGGACCCACCCAGAGGCATCTTCAAAGAGGGGCCTGGTGATGGGCTCCCAAAGGTCCCAGCCTTGGAAACCCTGGGGTGCTCAGTCCTGCCCTGTATATGGGAGGGCCACCATGAGTCAGAGTCAACTCCATGCAGCCAATAGCAGCCCACTTACAGTGTCCACCCTGATCTCTGCTCGCCTCAGCCTACCTCCCTGCTTCTCTTCCCCTCCATGGCACTTGTCTCCTAACTTACTAAAGGAGCCCGTGGGGGGCACAGAGGGTTAAGTGCTCACCTAGTCACCACAAGGTTGGCGGTTCAGATCCACCCAGAGACACCTCAGAAGACAGCCCTGGCTGTCTGCTTCCGAAAGGGCACGGCCTTGGAGACCCCGTGGAGCAGTTCTGCTCGGCACACACGGGGTCACCGTGAGTCAGAATCGACTCCACGGCAACCAGCAATGAGCCAGTCTCCGGTGGCTATTCAGACCCGATCCAGTCATGAAGAGAGGAGGCCAGCAGGGAGCCCCACCCCGCCCTTTGTGAGGGATCGTAGAGCTCCTGCTTTGGGGGGGCAACACCAGAGGAGGGATGGGCTTGACCTGGGAAAGGAGCCGGGGAGCCCTGAGAGAGTTGGAGCTGTTAGACCCAGAGCAGGGCCCCAAGCTCTCCTCAATGGTGTGAGAGTGAGGGCAGTGGGTTACGGGGAAAACACTACAGCCCAAGGGAGACACTTGAAGGGTGGATGGGGGAGCCACTAGGATGAGGAGGAGTGTGAAGAGCTGAGGGCAGGTTAGTGGGCATGGGAGGGCCTGATGCACAGGGAGGACATGGCTGGAGGCCAGGGGCAGGTTCTGGGAGCCTGAGGAAGGGCCTAGCAGGAGAGGGACCTTTGAGAGCCAGGGGAGGATTCAGGTGCTCAGGGGTGTGGCCTGGGAGAGCTAGGGTGGGGGGAAAGCCAGTGGGGGAACCTCGGCATGGGCGGTGACAGTGGGCTTCAGCTCAGTGACAAGGTCTAGAAAGGCTGGCTGAGGATCTAGAACATTGGGTTGAAGTTGGGCTTAGGTTTGCTTTACGTCAGGGTTGGAGCTGCACATCACGTACCGCGCGTGTGTTGGAGCGGCCCTGCACTACGCAGGGGCTTGTGTTTCTTCACTGATACAGACGTCCTTGGAGATAGTGCGCATTCGGTTCCAGACCATCGTCATCAAGTGAGTATCACGGTCAAGTGAGTCACACACACATTTGGTTTCCCAGTGCACAGGAAAGTTCTGCCGACACTAGTGTTGCCTATCGAGTGTGCAATAGCGTTACGAGAAACTTTGAACTTCTGGGAGGATGACAAAAACGGGGCACAGAGACACACTGAGCACAGGCTGCTGGGAAAATGGCACCCACAGACCTGCTCGACGCGGGGCCACCACAGACCTCCGATTTGGAAAAAAAAAAAAAAAAAGTGCAAAGTACAGTGAAGTGGGGCGCCCGTGCAGGAAACCACGGAGCAGGCCCTGTGGATAGGCGGTTAAGCACTGGGCGCCTGATGGAAAGGCTGGCGGGTGGAGCCCACCCAGAGGTGTTTTGGAAGACGGAAGCCCCAAGTCCCTCAGGAGCTGCTTGTGCTGAGCCTTCTAAAGGCGTTCATTGTGTGCCACCTGAGCTCACCTGGCAGAGGGCAAAGCGTGTCGGGTGGTCCCACGTAGTCCAATGCAAAACGCAGCCATTGCCGTGGAGTCAGATCCAACCCATAGCGACCCCTCCTTGGGTTTCCGAGGCAGTATCACTACGAAAGTAGATTGCCCAACCTTCCTCCCGGGGAGTGGCTGGTGGGTTTGAACTACCAGCCTTCTGATTAGTAGTCAAGTGCCTTAGGCACTACACCACCAGTGAAACCAAAGAAAAATGAAACCCACTGCTGTTGAATTGATCCTGAATCATGGCGCCCCACATGTCAGAGGGGGCCTGAGCTCTCTGGTGTTTCCTAGGCTGTAATTTTTTTGGAAGCAGATCCCGGGCATTCCTTCTGTACTACCATTGGGTGGGTTCAAGCTGCCAGCATTTTGGTTGGTTGTCGAGCACAAAAGCCCTGGTGACACAATCGTTAAGCCCTCGGCTGCTAACTGGAGGGTTGGCAGTTGAAAGCCAACTGCACAGGAGGAAAGACCTGGTGACCTTCCGTATAGATTACAGCCCAGGAAACCTGATGGGCAGTCCCACTCCGTCACGTGGTTGATGGGAGTCGGAAAAGGCTCAGTGCCCAGCAAGAGTTTGCACCCCCCAGGGACCTGGGCTTGCAGACCGGCAGCTGTCCACGCGAACTGACGTGCGTTTGGATGAGGACACGCGTCCTGGGGGTGGGAGGGTGGGGACAGAAGCTGAGCCCTCCTGCCCTTCCCCACTGTCCTGAGTCGGCCCTGGGTGTAGCCCTGTCACTGTCCTCGTGTTCCTGAGGAGGACGTCCAGGCATAGACCAACAGGAAGTGAAGAGCAGGGTGGGATTTACAGCCAGAAATGCTGACCAGGCACCTGAGAGTGTGACCACTGGACTGCGTCACCTCCGAGAGATGAGCCTGTGTTGAAAGACACTGCTAAGATTCTCACATTCACCATTGTATTCCCAGAACCTAAAATAGAGCCTGGGACATCATGGGCAGTTAATTAGTGCTTTTAGAAGGAAAGAAGGAGCCCTGGTGGTTGCAACCATTGGCTGCTAACTGGAAGCCTGGCACTTTGAGACCACCAGCCACTTTGTGGGAGAAAGATGTGGCAGTCTGCTTCCGTAAAGACTTGACAGCCTTGGAGACCCAGTGGTGCAGTTCCACTCTGTCCTCTAGGGGCGCTGTGAGTGAGAACTCCACAGCAGTGGGTGTGGTTTGAGCTTTGTTTCCGTGAAAATCGACAGCCTTGGAGATCCTGTGGTGCAGTTCCACTCTGTCCTGTAGGGGCGCTGTGAGTCGGAATAGACTCTGCAGCAGAAAGGAGAGCTGCTGCTGCTACCTTTTCCTTGTGGCTAAATCTGAGCCCGGGTCCCCGGGTGGCACAAAGGTTAACTGCTGGACTTCTTTCTAATTGAAAGGTTAGTGCTGTAAGTCCACCCAGCGGCCCCTCAGAATGGCCTGCTGGTGGACTTCCCCAGAGTCAGCCGCTGGAAACCACGGAGCTCAGCCCTACTCTGACGCATGGCTCTGTGTTGGGATCAGCTGGCCGGCCCGGCGTGGCTGCATTTGCATCCTCATCTGTTCCCATCGTCCCATTGCCTCAGCACCCATCAAGTCCCCCACCCACTGCAGACTGGGCTTTCACCTACAGATGTTCACCAAGACCACTGTAGCCAACATCGCCCACAACACCCCTGAGGGTCAATCCAGAATTTATGTCTAAGGCGCCTATTAATGGAGGCCTTGGTGGCACAACGGTCAAGCACTGGGCTGCTCACTGGAGGGTTGGTGGTTCAACCCACGCGGTGGCTGCACGGGACAAAGGCTTGCTCCCATGACGATTACAGCCTAGAAGACCTTATGGGGCAATTCTGTGTCACGGGGGGTTGCTGTGAGTCCAAACCAACTCAGTGCCACCACAGCAGCAAGGCGTGTGCGCAACGTGCTGTTTAACAGAAAACCCATAGCGGTTCTGCTCAGTAACACAAGAGGTCACCAGGAGTTGGAATTGACTCGATGGGAATGAGTCTGGGTTCTTTGTTTTTATTTTATAGAAATATTGCTACTGCTCTCAGCAGGAGACATGGCTGGCCGCTATGAACCTCTATGGGTGTTTCTTAGAAATTTACAATAATAATATGAAGGCAAAAAGCCCGACAAAAA